CTTTGGAGGACAGGGTCATAATTCAAAATGATCTGGACAAATTGGAGAAATGGTCTGAGTTAAACAGGATGAAGTTTAACAAAAATAAATGCAAAGTGCTCCACTTAGGAAGAAAAAATCAGTTTCACACATACAGAATGGGAAGAGACTGTCTAGGAAGGAGTACGGCAGAAAGGGATCTAGGGGTTATAGTGGACCACAAGCTAAATATGAGTCAACAGTGTGATGCTGTTGCAAAAAAAGCAAACATGATTCTGGGATGTATTAACAGGTGTGTTGTGAGCAAGACACGAGAAGTCATTCTTCCACTCTACTCTGCTCTGGTTAGGCCTCAGCTGGAGTATTGTGTCCAGTTCTGGGCACCGCATTTCAAGAAAGATGTGGAGAAATTGGAAAGGGTCCAGAGAAGAGCAACAAGAATGATTAAAGGTCTTGAGAACATGACCTATGAAGGAAGACTGAAAGAACTGGGTTTGTTTAGTTTGGAAAAGAGAAGACTGAGAGGGGACATGATAGCAGTTTTCAGGTATCTAAAAGGGTGTCATAAGGAGGAGGGAGAAAACTTGTTCACCTTAGCCTCTAAGGATAGAACAAGAAGCAATGGGCTTAAACTGCAGCAAGGGAGGTCTAGGTTGGACATTAGGAAAAAGTTCCTAACTGTCAGGGTGGTTAAACACTGGAATAAATTGCCTAGGGAGGTTGTGGAATCTCCATCTCTGGAGATATTTAAGAGTAGGTTAGATAAATGTCTATCAGGGATGGTCTAGACAGTACTTGGTCCTGCCATGCGGGCAGGGGACTGGACTCGATGACCTCTCGAGGTCCCTTCCAGTCCTAGAATCTATGAATCTATATCTTGAAGGGTGGGGCTGAAATTCTCTGACTTCTCCACAAGCAAGCAGCATATTCTTGGCATAATCTTGGTTGGTGAACACTTCTTGACCAACCTTAAGTGTGACATTTGGAGCGTCATGTTCTAATATCTAATCGATAGCTTGACAGAATACTGCTGAGACGAGAATGCATCACTGCTTCACACCTGATGATGTGTAGAAACACATCAAAAGCCATGAACTGATGCACACTCTTGCACTGGTACCGGAGTAGCAGAACATCTGGAATGCCAACTCCTTTCAGTGAGAGACAAAGGACTGAATCAAAAGACACTCTGATGTTGATATATGCCACATGAAATGGACAGTTAAATTCTTGGTGCTGCTCAGCAGAAGCTGAAGGGTAAGGACAGGGTCTGTTGTCCATCACCCAACAGCAAAATCTGACTGCTGTGACAATTATGTCTTAAGGAGCGGGAATATCCTTCCAACCAGAACGTGAGCAAAAAACTTTCCAGGGACAGATAATAGTGGGGTTGGCTAGTAGCTGCCACACTCAGTGTGAGATCCTTTGCCCTTGTACAGGGACACTGTGATGCCATCTTTCCATTCTGCTAGTACTTTGCCTGATGCCCACACTTTTAAGAACAGCTGATGCAGGCTGACGCTCACTGGTTCCAAGGCAACTTTGTGCAGCAGGGGTGGAATACCATCAGGTCCAGCAGCACATCTATTCCGTAATTTTTGGATGGGATTTTGTACTTCCTCAAGTGATGAGGATCAGTGTTTGTCCCTGCATCTGCAGCTGTGCAGTTTGCTAGGTCACGTAGCAAACTGGATAGTTGTCGGCAAGTGTGTGGTTCAGCACATCTTCATAACGTGTTTTCCATCTGTCCAGGACATCATTCATCGATGAACAGGGAGAGCCGTTTGGTTTCATGATGGGGATGTTAAAAAGATGTTCATGGCTGCCTGCCAGGCGTATGATGGCTCAGTAGGCAGGCAGCAGATTGTTGCATTTTAGGCCGTCTTCGGCTTTGTCGGCCAGGGAGTTGGTGTAGATCTCAGGGTCATGTTTTGCCATGACCCGGAAAATGCCTTTTCAGCTGTTTACATTCTTGGACATCTCCGTACTTGTGTGCTTCTGCCTTTTTCACAAATATATAAAAGTCCTATTCAGAAAGCCAAGGTTTCTTGTGTGATGGTTTGAAGCGGATTGTTTCAGTGGCAGCATGTGATATAGCATCATGTATGCCACTCAAGGCGATCTCCATGTGATCCTCAACAACCTGTGTGTACATCACAGCTTCAACAAGATCCTTGGATAGATGCTAGATATTGTACTTTTGGTGGACATCTGGCTTGCAAGGTGATGGAGATGTTGGAAGATGGAGTGAGAATTGAGTGACATCTAGTCTATGGTCTGAGTTTGCTGGTGTGTCTGCACTGCTGAAGACCCACTGAGATTTCATTATAGAGCGATTTCTGATAAGGATATGGTCAATTTCTTTCATACCACATCCATTATTTGAAATCCAGGTCCAGCGACGATTGTTAAGAAATCTAAACCAGGACCCCATAACAGACAAGAGCTCAGTGACACACCGTGTCAAAAGCCAGGTGGCGGTGTCATTTGGGGAACCTGAACCAAAAGGACCTATCGTGGTTTCATACCCAGTTCAATCGCAGCCAGTCACGGGACTGAAATTTCCCAGCAGTAGCAGTGTGTTGTGATGGAGTTGATTGGATTTTTGCTGCTGGTTGGTGATAGAATGCATCCTTTTCTGCAGGTCTTCCATAGGTGCGTAGGCCACAATGACAGACAGATGTTCATGATGATGTTGGAGCCAAGCATAGTAAAAGCATGGAGAAATGGGTTTCCAGGTGGTTGAAGTCTGTGCTAGAAGTTGTCTAATAATGAGTGTCACACCTTGAGTTTGGTATGGACCATTGGAGTGGAGGATGGTTGCTCAAGTTACTGTGGAAGGATCGCTCTGTGGCAGACATGCCTCGGTGATGCTGGTGATTATGATCCTGTAATGAGTGAGTTCTTTTACAAGAGCTGTCCTGCACCCAGTTCTGTTCAGTGTTGACATTTGCCATATGGTGACATGGAATGTGCCTCTGAGGGCTGTTTTGGACTTCCAGGAAGTTGCGGTCACCAAGGCTGCGCTTTGCCTAAGCGGGATTTGGGTCATACCTGTCCTATGTGTTGGCGCGGTCTGTCATGGCCAGTTGCCCCTTCATTACACTATATCTCCTTGGGAGATGAAGAGGGGTTTTATTTGGGGGAGTATCATCCCCCTTCCAAGGAACTCTTCCAACAGATGCCATTGGTTCCTGAGGTTCCAAAAAAGTATTCAAAAATCATCATTCAGCAGGTAGAAACCAAAGAATCTCTTGGAAGAAAAATCCCTGGGAAACAAAATTCCCCACTTACCAGCAATTACAACCCAAGATGGGGTTTTGTGTATAGTCTTTTGCGTATAGACTATAAGTCTCACGAATAAAATATTGGAGAAAAACTTTGCTTAGTGAAAGTAACCAATTACTAGCTTACACCCCTTCACCCCTGCAGATCACATATTGTGTAGGGTAGAAAAGACTTCAAGAACAGACAATCAGTGATACTAGGAACCCTTCAAGCTCCTGTAGACCAAATTGGAGCTACCCAAGGTGTAAACACCAGATACTCAAAACCTTATTTCATTAGTCCGATCCCTCATTTATAATATCCATGTTCTAATGACAACAAGAATCAACGGAGTGAAGTAAAACCTATTGACAGAAACCAGAACTTGGAGTTTCAAAAACATGCGCATGATAATGTGTGCGAGCTTCATTTACACAGGGAATTACACAAATTGCAGTATGGGCCTATTTTTTGCACATGTCAAATTCTACAGATGTGGGCCTAAATCTTTACATGATATGATATAACAAATATAGAGACATTCCCACCCAGCTCAAAAAACTACTCTCAGTATAGACAACAGCCTTGTTTTTCAAAACTCTACAGATAATAGCTCTGCACTGCTGACAAACTCATTCACTTCCCCAATTTACTAAATCTTAGGTTGTTAATCACAAGAGCAGATACAGCGGCTAAAGTAGGAAGCTTCATCTGGACTAGACGACCTATCAAGGTCCCTTCCAGTCCTATGTTTCTGATTCTATGATTCATGACCAAGGGACCAGAATGCTTTCATAGCAGAGTGGAAATTTGCACCCTTTGAAGTGTACAGCGAGGAAGGAGTGGACAGGGTGAGGGAAGAGGGACTCTTCCTTAGACATTAGGTCACAGCATGACGCCAATGCCATTCTTGTCACAGGACCCTAGCTAGTGCAGCATTCTTCTTAGTCGTTCTAAAGAGATGTCTGTTGACATGATTTATTAAGTGGCATATAGAAGCACATTGAGAAATGCAGAAAAACTGGGAGACGCTCTAAACTTGGCTTGGGCTTGTAAGAGTTCCACAGAGTCTGGTTGGGATCTGTTCAGACATTCAGATCTGTGGGAAGGGGAGGGTCTGTGGGAAAATATTGACAGACACAGCAAAGCCCGAAAAGGAAGGAAATTCCCCTCAACAGCATATGCCACAGCTAAGCTGTGACTGGTTCAGGAGGCTTCACAATAACTCAGCCATCCCCTGGGAGTCATCATTAAAGCTATTTTTTGCCTTAAACTTTCCTGATGAGGGAAGTAATATCAGAAGCAAGGGCACACATTTGGCTGGAGACCAACTGTACTGACAGCAGTCTTAGCTTTTAACAAAGTAGGAAGAAAACAATTCCATTAATGCTGTGTTCCACTGTTTTATTTACTTATTTATTTATTTACTTTCCTCTATGCTTCCCAGAGTTTAACACCAGATACTTCACAACAGTGCAAACAATAATGTAAAGATCTACTTGAAAATGATCAAAATACCCCAGACACTCAAAATAATTAGAGCACAAAGTAGCCAACAGGTATAAAAAACACTAATTCTAAAATGTAGACCAAGTTAAAAATGCAATGCACATAACTATGCTCCCATTAAAAAAACAGAATGTTAAATTATATTCAACAGACTGCTTTGACTCACACTAAGATGTGCCCTGATTGAAGATATGTAGGTTGGCTGGACAGAGATCCTATGACATACTAATTATCACTGTACTTACAGTGAGTTTGGCCGACTAGGTTTAATTACTTCTAGGTCAGGGTCACTTGAGTTCAGGTTGGGTCGGAGAGTGCTGTTGGAGTGGAGGAAGCTGTTGACGTTTGAAGAGATGACAGATTCCAGGCTGGAGTTGATGATACTGTTCCTTGTCTCCTCTAAAAAACAACAACAAATATACATTACTATCATTAAGTAAAACCTATTAAGTTGTTAGAAAGTAAAGAACAGACTTTTGCAAGGTAGAACAGTTCCTATTAATAGCTTATGTCTTTATGTGGATCCCAGGGAAGTACACAGAGTATATGGAAGTTTCTTCACCTATACTATTCTTTAAAGCTGAAACTGTACGAAACGTGAGTTCCTCTTATTCTGATGATGCAAATACTCTTTACTTAAGGACATTTTTGGTAAGTAAAACATTCACTGGTTATCTCAGGCCACTAATATCATCTTACACTCAAAAATTCCAAAGCCCTAGGCACACTTTAAATAAACATTCAAAATTATACACAGCGATCAATTTACCCATCACTGAAATTCAGCCATGTCTAGGGTGAAACATTGCAAAGCAACAGTATAGAATAGAAAGTAAAGAACGGATTATCCAACTGAAATTTAGTTAGGCAAAATGCTACTACCTAAGATGGTACTAGGTTAACAATTAGAGCTATTTCCCAAGTAGCTCCATAGTCAATAATGAGATGTTGACATAAACAAAGAAAATGTTAAGACATTTTTTTTCCATCTTCCATCCGGCTGTATTAACATCTATTCTTGTAATTAGTGCTATGGTCCAGCACCTCAGTTTTATGTCTCATCTGAAAGAGCATCTCTAGCACTACACTATACTTTTCACCTCACCATCCTACACCACAGAGGCACTGATTCTGTCCTGACTCAGAGGGAATAGTGCCACTGAATCACTCGCATCTCTTTTTGAAGCACCTACATGTTTCTAAGGGCATATCTACCCTGCAATGAAAAACCCATGATTGGGCCCATGCCAGCTGACTCGGGCTCACGCTACAGGGTTGTTTAATTGCAGTATAGACATTCAGGCTTGGGCTAGAGACCGGCTCTAAGACCCTGCGAGGTGGGAGGGTCCCAGAGCTCGGGCTGCTTCTCTGTCATGGAAGACAATGTGGTGTCCCTCGGCTGGACTAAAGATCATAGAGAACACCTCTTTAACAGTTAATCTTCCGAAGCAGGGATATTCCATTTGTATTGTACTAAAGACTATCAACAAAGCTAACGAGAATTTATATGAATCACTTATTCCCAGTCTCTTCCAATCAGATATCTCTGCTGGATTCTGTGGAAAAACTTATGTGCATCTATATTTTTGTATACAGAGGAACAAGGAACAGAACAGAAATCCAACATAAACAATATGAGTGGAACACCTCTGTAATATTAAAAATTAATTTTGGATATACAAGAGGAAGAAATCCTCTGCAGTACTGTGAAATAACTTAGAAACAATGTTGTCACAACCATAATAGAGCATGGCAATGAGTAACCTCTTCATCACCACTTCAAAGGGATGAAGACTATATTAACAGAGGGGTCATGGACAAGGGCAAAAAGAAAACCTTGGATACACATGCTAGAACTATGACTCAAGACTATTAACAGCTTCTCTCTGTCAACTCAGAGAGGCACACACTTTGTTCATCTATGCTGCAGATAATGTTTTTACACTTTGTAACACTGGATTGGGACCTTTGTCATTGTGTCCAACCAGATGGGTTTATTTCCTGTTATTTTGCAATTCTGGTCTCCTATGCAAATAAATGTATATTTTATTTAAGATCAATGGAATTGGATGCGGTGACATGTTTGGGTTAATTACCATCAGGACCACCAGAGAGACAAAAACCTGAGTCGGGGCAATTGTAATAATCTGAACACCCTTTCAAAGCACAGGATTGCCAAAGGTGTTCTAGAGTAGGCCAGCCTGGGTATGGGGAGAGCCAGATGTGTAGCCTTGCAACCAAACCGGGCACACAAGAGATAGACCCAGATCAAGGTCTGAATTTCTCCAAGGTTTACATTTGTTTGAATCGACGGTTTCTCTCTCTCTCTCTCTGGGTCTGTGCAAGTACTTTTAGAAAATTCGGATTAATTTGAGTTTAACAATATTTTGCAAGTGAATTTAATACTCATGAAAGAGACTAGAAGCCCTGCTGGGCAAACAGTGCGGTTAGGCATCTTCTACACAGCTCACTACAGAAAGGATGTGGACAAATTGGAGAGAGTCCAGCGGAGGGCAATGAAAATGATTAGGGGGCTGGGGCACATGACTTATGAGGAGAGGCTGAGTAAACTGGGATTGTTTAGTCTGCAGAAGAGAAGAATGAGGGGGATTTGATAGCTGCTTTCAACTACCTGAAAGGGGGTGCCAAAGAGGATGGAGCTAGGCTGTTCTCGGTGGTGGCAGATGACAAAACAAGGGCAGAATCGTAATCTTTTGTGGGGTGGAAAGTTTTTCAGTTTACTGGTGACATAGTCAATTTGGATTTATTTCTGTATGTGTTTACATTTTTAATGTTTATGCTTCTGAGAGGTGCACTATACACGCTGACAGCAAACATTATAGAGGGCTGAGGAATCCTTGTCTGGAGGACAAACAGCACCTCTTCGTGTTTTCTTTTTAAAGATTATTGTGTAGGTTTAAAACAGGGTCTGGTTTCATTCTTGTAAAACCATCATCATAAAACGGGTACAGTTATTAGAAAACTAGCCCTATCCATGTGAGGGTTGCATGTTATGCCTCTCAGAAAAGTAACTTCTGGAATACAACCACTTTTTATAGTTTTGCTGTATTATTAGTTATTATTGGGCTATATTAATGTAGTGCCTAGAGGCCTCAGCTGAGATTCGGACTCCTGTGCTAATCACAGTGCAAACACACAGGGAAAAACAGCCCCTACGTCCAAGTGTCCACAGTCTAAATAAACAGGAGAGAGAGAGGCTGAAAAGGGTTAACAGAGGCACCGAGAGGTTCATAGATGTCAAGGCCAGAAGAGACCATCAGATCATCTCAACTGACCTCCTGGATATCACAGACCAATTAAAGCAAAGCGATGTGACTTGCCCAAGGTCACAGAACCGGTTGTGACAGAACTGGGACTAGAACCCAGGTTTCCTGACTACCAATCCAGTGCCCTTTCCACTAAACCACACTGTGCTCCCAGGCTGCTTTAACTAACCAATTTAATACAACTAGGAAAGGACAAATGCCACAGGGATCCTGACACCCAACCTTTTTTGCAGAAGCCACTGGCAACGTGGTTCGAGCATAGGGCCATTGGCTATCATTATGAGAAACCTCCGGTAGTTCTATCCATCTGTCGTCCCCACTGTTCCCCCCCTTCTGGAAACTAGGAGCCATTTTCTGTTCTCACCTACACTAAATCGAGACTAATTCTATTGTCATTAATGAAATAGGTAAGTGTCCTTATGTGTATTGTACGAAAGAAGTGTCTGGGCATGGAGGAGTAGACTGGTCAGTAGTTATAGGCAACTTAAGGCATCGCTTTGGTATAGCTCAGAGAGATCTCAGCATAGCAGGAAGGAAATGAGGATGGATGAGACAAGAGAGTGCACGGCGATGAGTACGGTGGGAACTTATACCATGGCTTTGTTTTCAGCGCCATTAGTTCCCATTAAGGGTATGTTTAAACGTTGAACTGAGAGTGTGATTCCACTTGTGCTAGCTCTCATTGAGTGAACGCACTAAAAAAATAGACCATAGCTGCAGCAGTAGGAGTGGCTAACTGCCCTGAGTACCTATCTAACATCTCCGAGGGACATGCTCTCAGGGGGGCTAGCCCCCTGCCACTTGTGCTGCCGTGACAGCGCTATTTTTAGCATTTTAGCTTGATGACAGCTCACATGAACATGTCTCCTCGAGCGGGGAATCACCCCCCCAGCTCAAAAGCATAGACATACCCTACGAGAGGTAACGTAATGATGTGATTGCAAGAGGTTTCTGAAATTCAGTCAGCCTGGCTGGGGGCGGGAGGGAGGGAACTCTTTGTAATGAAAGGGGTCATCCACAGAAGAGAGGACAGAAGTGAGAAATTGGTGTGACTGCTCCATTCCAGTGACATTAGGAGAGTGTTGAACTGGGGATAAATTAAGAGGAAAATTAGTCATATTTAAAGCTTTAGAAACAGGCTGGCCAAAGTCACACCAGATTGTAGCATTATTTTATCTAGGGTATTTTTATTTTTTTAAAATGTAATCTCCCCCCAGCGTAGATCTGGAAAGCCTGTATTTCATTATATTCTGTACCTGGACCTAACTGAACTGATCCGATGGCAGGCAGTGAGGAGTCTAGATTTCTGAGTTAGCAGATCGTCATCTCCATCAAGCAGCTTGTTATTTTCATGCACTTTCTGTGCAAGGCTAACCTGTGAAAATAAGGCCCTTGAACCTATCAAAACTATGTCAACTGCCTGGATAATTTCAAAGGGGATACCAGTATGTATTAAATTGAAATCATTCCCAGCCAGGGGAGCTGAGGATCTTTCATCTGAGGAAGTTGGGAGAGAAGTTGTTTTTGGTGTTTTTAAATTCTTTCCCCCGTTTTAAAAGGCCAAAACTCTATTTTGAACATTTAAACAGTGTCAGTTAAGGTTTCTTCATTGTGACAGTTTAGTCGGCCAGATATCTCCAAAAATGAAACAATAAATAGCGTAGAACCAATTCCTTTCTGTTATACAGAAGGCAGAAAAGTCACTTTATAAAGTGCCTGTCTGATTCAGAGGGCACTTGGAGAGTCATACCTGAAAAAGTTCTAGTTCTGGATTGCTGAATAATAAACTGTACAGTAGCTTAGTCATGGCATGCCCAGAGGTTATGATAACATGCACTTGTGTTGAGCAGGCTTTCCTTCTGTCTGCAGCACTCCTTGAACAGCCCATAACAGACAGCTAAGATTTGTTCCAGCTCCCCCAGATAATAAAGCTTCCATTAATAAATCACATACACAAGTTCTCTGTTCAAGTTCCCACATAAAATACCCTCGGGAAATGAAAAAACACTGAAATGCAGCCCACACGTAAGGAAGGTTTGAATCTTGTGTTTTCTGCAATCGTTTCCCTCATTTAAAAAAACCAAATCCACTTCAGATTAAACTCTTCAGCCAGTCTCATTTCACGCCTTTTCTGTCCAAGAGCAAACAATGCATCACCAAGTCTGATTTCACACTGCTTTAGCTAGAATCCTTTGCAATCTATGATAAAAAAGCATTGCAAACAAAGATTCAGTTGAGTCTTTCCTAAATCTCCAGCTTCTTCTGGTCATGCTTCCAGTAATTTTCTGCTTTTGTAGAAGTCAGTGCAATGACTGTTGGATGAGAACTGGGCTCAGGATACTATGATACAGGTTATCCACAAACCGCATTCAAATGATGAGATAAGTGCCTTATTATATCTAAATAAAAGAACAAGATGCTCGAACATAATCTATAAAGTGGGGGGAAATGGTAAGGAATGAAATGTGATACTAAAACAGGTTTCTCTTATTTTAAATCCATGTACTCTACTTCTGGTTCAAATGCAGCCAAGGTCAATAGCAAGCAAAGGTTCACAGATTCATAGATTTTAAAGCCAGAAGATATCATTATACTAATCTAATCTGCATAACACAGGCCACAGAGCTTCACCCTGTAACTTCTGAATTAAGCGTAAGAGTTTGTGGCTGAATTAGAGCATCTATTTTAGACAGATATCTGATTTTGATTTTAAATGTTTCGTGTGACAGAAAATTCACTACGTCCTTTAAGTTTTTCCAGTGGTTAAACTGACCTCAATGTCAAAAATTTGCATCTCATTTCCATTTTTAAGTTGCTTAGCTCTTCAATTTCCAGCCATTACTTCTTCTTATGTCTTTATCTTTAGATTAAAGAGCCTTCATTACTTACAGACCATGATCGCCTTATCTCTTCTTTTTGATGAGCTAAATAGACTGAGTTCCTTAAGTATCTCAGTGTAATGCAGTATTCAAATCATTCTTGATGCTCTTCTCTGAACCATCTCCACTTTTTCCAACATCTGTTTGAAGTGTGGTCACTAGAAAATGGCAGGCTGTTCAGTGCTCTCAGCCCATTTTCCAACACATGGTTGACCACATTAAAAAAAATCCACAGATGTTACCAGCATTAGCTGTGCTGATGGAAGTGAGAGTTGAGTTGCCAAGGTCTGAATAAGCCATAGAGGCAGAACCACCATACAGAGGTGATCCTTCCAAGTCAAAACTCTGACATTTTGGGTGAGCTGAACCTGTTCTGTGAACGGAGGACTATCAGCCTAACATTGTTAACAGACACTTAAAAAAAATGGGGAGGGGGTCTCAACCCATCTTCACTTTGTTCATTAGGTCTTTAGAACTAGGGATGCTAATGCAATGCAACATGGCTGCTAATGCATTAGAAACCGGCAACACACAGCTTAATTCCAAATAAAACAAACATTCTTCTAGCAGCTCTATTCCTTTAAGGATTATGGGCCAGATCCTTGGTCACTACTAAGGCAAGGCAGCCAGAAAGCTACCCAAATATGGCATTTGAGGATTCCCTTGGCACAGGGGGAAACTCATGTAGTGTAAAGCCAACATAATTACGCTACTCTTTCTCTTCCACCTTGGGTACATGGGGGCATGTCAGGCAAGGAGATTGGTGTACCTGGAACATCTTGGGTTCTGCTGTCCAGGGATCACAGAACTGTCCCTATTGGACCATTTGTGCCAGTGGAGCAGACCTTAGGCTAAATTACATGGAGGACATTTGGCATGTGGACAGGGACTTTCAGATCCTTAGACAAAAAAGTTAAATACTAAATAGTAGTAATAGTAATGGACTGATGGTCTAGGAGATTTTTAAACTGAAGTGTGACATATTCCTAGGATGGCTGAAATTTCTGTTGCTTTAAAAGGAAAAACATCTATTGATGTCCAAAAGCATCTCTCTGAAGGCTGAACTGGGTGGTTGTCCTTGCTGCAGATGTTCTGCTCCGAGTTAACTAATATAGACCAAGCAGCCAATAGAGGATAGTATGGAGGGTCATGGAATACATGAGAATGAGAGAGTGTAAAACTAAATGAGATGGGGAAGGGATATCAACTTTCTACACTGCTATTTTTATGCAGCCTAATTTCAAGCCCTTGGGGTAAGAGCTCGGGGGCTAGACAAGCTTTAGCTTTCTTTATTAATATGATGGTTTAGAAGCCTGGGGCCTCTGTCATACTATAGGATAAGTATCACTCCTATTGAAGTTAATGAGCGAGCATCGTATTCTGTGGTGTGAGAACTGAGCCCCATCAGTCATGATAAGAAACCTTCTGAGCAGATAACAGTACAGCATTGTAACACAACTCACTGCCTCTAGGATTGACATACTTACGGTTTTCATTGGCCTGTGCCGTGTGGAAGAGTGTTAATGGTCTCTCACTGCAGGAAGGAGGCTTTGAATCAGTATTCTTCTTATGAGATATTAGCAGCAGCTGCGAGTTTGGTGGTAGCGTCTCCGGTACAGTGTTAAATATCTATAAATAAAAGGATGGGGGTTTGGTGGGCTTGTTTTTCTTTTGTTTTTTTTTTAAAGAAAGGTCAAGTGTTGCTATGAAACAGGGGATGGAGGGGAACTCAGTTATTAGCACAGAGTCACAATAATGAAAGAAACAGCCTTTGAAAGTCAACTGTTTGACAGGTCACCTTTTCAGGGCACAGACAGTGTCATGTTAAATTCCACCCCCACACCCATTGCACTCCCCTTTCCTCTGCGCCTCACCAAAGCTTTTCTTGCTCATTAGTAAAACATGAGTAATTCTCGAAGCCTCAGACCCTTCCCGCTTAGAAGGCTGGCTTATGCTTAGCCGCTGGCTGTGAAAGTTGACATACAGAAAGTAAAAATAAATAGATATCTATATATTTAAATCGGCATGCTCTGCGGCTGCTCCCCATAGGCTGGCAGTTCACAGGGTCTAGTGAAGCCAACCAGCTTGTGAATCTCTTTGTTACTCCCATGCACAGCTGTGTGAAAACTAAGTCATCAAATTTTTCCTAAAGGGAATGGAATTTTTAAACGGGATGAACTGAAACAGCAGCATTTTGGGAGCTATTTGTTTCTTTTCTTTAACCCAGGGTTCAAACAGCCCTGGCGATCCCTCAAGGCTACTCTTTCAAGGGCTCCCCTAGCAAGAATGCATTAAACACACACTTCGGTGCCATTTTCTGCTCTAGCCCTTTGGGCCTCAATTCTCCAAAGGCAGTGGCTGCACTGGGAAGTAAGGCTGCTCAACACTAGGACTGTAGAAAATGTTATTTCAAAAACACCTCGCTCCCCACTCCTCCATGAATGCAAGACACTCAGCCAGGACACAACTATAAAAGTGCTTTCAGATGTATCCAATCCCCTGTATAAAAGCTAAAAAATTCTGACTGCCAACTAGTATAAATAGCTGCCAGAAATTCATTGCTTTATTGTTTTGTGACAAAAAAAAACCACTCCACACTAATTTTTAAAAATAAATGCAAAAACACAGAAGCCTTAATCAGCTATTTTAATGTCACATCTCTCCTGAAGGTTATCAAAAAGTAGGGTCAGTGGTAAATGTTAGCGCTTAGGGTCCTTTAAGAAGTGGTATTTAAATTATTCTAATTAACTGGGAAGCCGATAATAAGTAGGCCTTGCCGAAGATCTGTCTTGGTCAATATAAGTCTTGACCAATACTAATACTTCAGCTACACGATTGCCAGGGTGATTGTTTCACTTTATGTCCATGAAAATTCAGGTGGCCTGATAATTTAACTCGACCGGCTGAAGTGTTATACACTTCTGAGGATGGCACATATTTGGCTCTTTAAAAAAGCTGATCTCCATTTTCTACTGCAACTTTTTCCAGGGGAAACCAACCAACAGCAGCTTATCTGTGTGGATAATCAAGTTCTCTACATCCCACAACTGACAGCACATCAACCAGATTTCCTATCTGTAAATACTGCTCAAGCAGAGCTTCTATATACTAGGGCAGCGTTTCTCAAACTGGGGTCTGCGAGGGTACTTCAAGGGGTCCAAGGGCCCCGCTGATCAACTCCTCCTCCTCCCTCCCTCAACTCCTCCCCCTTCTTCCCAGTGCCTCCTGCACGCCAGGGAACAACTGTTTAGTGGGATGCAGGAGGCACTGGGAGGGCGGGGGAGGAGTGGGGATGGAGTACACCCGGGGCGGTGGTGGGGAAGAAGAAGGGCAGGGACGGAGCAGGGGCGGGAAGAGGTGTGACCTTGGGGGAAGGGGTGGAGTGGGAGCGGGACCTGGGGCTGAGTTGGAGGGTCCGTGAAAAATTTTAAATCAAAATGGGGGTCCTGGGGTTGCTAAAGTTTGAGAACCACTGTACTAGGCCAGTATTTTTCAAACCGTGGGTCGCGGCATGTCAGGCACTGGGTCGCTCTGGTCAGCTCCGCCAACTGGGACGTTAGAAGTCCCATTGGTGGCGCTGCCCAGCTAAGGCAAGCTAGTGCCTACCTTTTCCGACACTGCGGTGTGCCCCGCAAGCGGCCAGCAGCAGGTCCAGCTTCTAGGCAGGGGGACCATGGGGCTCGCGTGCTTCCCCCACCCTGAGCACCAGCTCTGCACTCCTATTGGCTGGTTGTCAGCCAATGGGAATGGGGGGGAGGGGGTTGGTGCCTTCAGGCAAGAGTCGCGCGCCTCCGCCTAGGAGCCAGACTTGCTGCTGGCTGCTTCCGGGGTGCAGCCCGGTCCGCGGTGCACCCCGGCTGCGCCGTTGACTGGGAGCCGCCAGAGGTAAGGCCATGCCCCAATCCCCTGCCCTGAGCCCCCCCAAATCTGGAACCCCTTCCTGCACCCCAAACCTCATCCCTGGCCCCACCCCAGAGCCTGCACCCTCATCCCAGAGCCCTGACCCCCTCCCATACCCCACCTCCCTGCCCTAGCCCTGAGCCCCTCCAAACCCAAAGCCCCTCCTGTACCCCATACACCTCATCCCTAGCCCAGAACCCTGAACCCTCCCACACCTTAACCCTCTCTCCCAGCCCTGAGCCCCCTCCCAACCCAGAGCCCCTCCTGCACCCCAAACCCCTCATCCCCCGCCCCACCCCCGCCCCCGCCCCCCCACCCTTCTTCAACTGGGTCCCCAGAAAAAAAAGTTTGAAAACCACTGCACTAGGCTGCATACTGTGTAAAGGAACAGGAAGTGGTTATTACTCACTTTGCAAAAATTATTTTCATATTCAGGGCCAGTGATAAAGACCCTGATAAAAGAAAAGCTGACTGTGAGTGTAAGTTGCTGGACACGCTGCAAGACAGAACGGGTATTCCTACTTGAATGCTCCTTTTCAAGATCTACATATCTAACTTGCACATTCATTCACACAGTTTTGCTTTATGTATCAGCTGAAGGAGTGCCAAGCCACAATTGCTCTCACAGTAGCTTGGTCCATTTCACATGCCACTCTTGCTCCCTAAGAGTGACCAACAACCAATGGCTGCTCTGCGTATCTGACATAGATCCCTTTCTCCTTGTGAATAACTCATCCGGTACAGGGGGTGGACCCCCAAGTACTGGGGGTGGACCACCTAAGATTCAGACACATTTGCTTTTCAGTCTAGGGGCAGGTCTTCACTACGGGGGGGAGGGAGGGGTCGATTTAAGATAAGCAAATTCAGCTACGCGAGTAGCTGAATTCGACGTATCGGAGCCAACTTACCCTACTGTGAGGACGGCGGCAAAATCGACCTCCGCGGCTCCCCGTCGACGGCGCTTACTCCTACCTCCGCTGCTGGAGTAGGTGCGTCGATTCGGGGATCGATTGTCGCGTCCCAACGAGACGCGATAATTCGATCCCCGAGAGATCGATTTCTACCCGCCGATTCAGGCGGATAGTGTAGACCTAGCCTAGGTTTCTTAAAGCCTCCCACTCAATTCAATGAGAAAAAATTATTACAACACTGGTATAACTTGTCATACCAAAAAGAAAGACTGACATTTCAAGTAGGATCCACCAAAGCACCCACTTTCTTGTATTCTAGGTCACCTGACCTAGGAGACAAGAGATGTGTTACAAGATGCTAGTCCCCAACTCTGCTCCATTAGGGATTTTTATCTACAGAAATGGTAGGGCTAATGACTAGCCTTGCCCATACAGTAATTCCTTAATCAGAATAAATGTTTAACTTTCTTTCTTTTGCTCTTGTATTTAGATCTCTCATCAATACAACACTGAGAGTTGCACTAAAAAAACCCCAAACAAATAAAAAAGAAAAAAAAAACGTTATTCACTAATTACATTGTGTGTTATTGTTTCTCACAGAGAGTTGAAAATTAACTTCCAACAAAAAACAAACAAAACAAAACAGAAAAACCAGTCACATGCTTTAAAGCAAATATGTATGTAACTTCTAACTAAATAAGGCTCAATCGAGACCGTGTGGTTTTAATTTTGCTGGAACCCATTATAAACCAATTTAATTAAACCTATAAGCGCAGCATCTCATCCATGATAATCGTACATAATTTTGCCTTGCAGTTAAAAATTTTAATTGATCCTAATGTTCGCACAATGGGTGATATCAGATAATCACTGAGTCTTGTGCTCATAAATTCAGTGATGCAATTTTGCAGACCTGGAGATCACTTTGCACAAAAGAGGCTACACATTCTCAGATGCTATATCAACTTTATCATTGTTTCCTTTCCATCTAATCTACCCTTTGCGGATTGCTAAATACTTATTTACAGAGTGACATGTATCTGGTTTTGTAGCCTACCCTCCATTCACTGAGATCACTTCTCTCGCACAAGGTTCAGAAAATACCCTCCCCAATAGTCTTTCTGCTATTTTATAAGCGTCTTTTATTAAACCTAAAGTTTTTATAACACCGTTCTCCCCCCAACCCCTCGTATTTTCCTTGGTGTACCAACTCCAAAAATTAAAAAACTGTTGCTGGCCCTGCAAAACCCTACATTTTAGCAGATCAAGACAGTCATTTCATAGACAATTTGCAGCCCTGGGTAACAGCAGGATAATAGCATGTTGAGCTGCTGTTAATGATCACAGCTCGATCATGTGGTTCTGTGTGTTTAATTTACTCAGCACAGCGGGAGCAAGACGACAACCTCACCTGGTGCTTCTGTTAAGTGCTGGTGTTTTTTCTGCTCTGTGTTTTGTGCAAATCCACCAACATATCAATGTCGTCAACTGGCCACTGGACGTCATTTTACCAACCTCCCGGTGAACATAGCAATGATTATACTTTCTCAAACTGCCCTTTCCAGGACCAAAAAAGAACAGTTGGGCCAGTCCTCCGAATATACCAATTTAATGTAGACGGGATGTCCAGGGAAAAAGCAGATTACCACTCCAGGACCCTCAAAGACCATCACATTGACATTATGGCCCTCCAAGAAACACATGTGAAAGAAGAAGATAAAGCTGTCAGACATAAAATCTATGGCTATATTAAAATCGCTGCTGTCAACTATCCAAAACATGGGCTAGCAGCATACACGAGAAATGGATTAGAGGATG